GACGCCCTCCGCCAGGCTGACTGCAAGGGGCTGCCGTTCTACTGCCCCTTCTACCAGGCAGCGGGAGGTGAGTGTCCCCTACGCGGGGCTGTCCCCACGGCCTGCCTGGGTGCACGGGGGGAACCGCTGCCGTCTGGACGCACAAACCCCCCTGGCCCCACAGGCATGGGAGCATCTCTGTGCCGCATCCCTCCCTGGAGAGACCTGCCTGTCCTGGCACGGCTCTATCCCGGCACCGGCCAAGAAGTTCCCCCTTGGAGGGGGGTGAGGCCATGTGGGCAGGGACGATGGGGGTTTTGGGGGGCTCATGCTGACATGCGCTGCCCTCTGCCCAGCCCTGCTCGGTGTCAACCTGTGGCCGGAGGAGAATGCTGTGCCCTGACTGGGCTTTCTTTGAGTTCCTGCCCTGCCCAGCTGAGGAGGAGATGCTGACGGTGCTGCTGGGCGAGCTCTGGGAGGGACGTGAATATGGACTGGTCCTCACGGCCCAGCCAGGAGAGTACAGGTGCCTCCTCCCTGCTGCAGTGGTCCAGGGGGGCCCCCAGCCTCACATGCCTGGCAGCAGCCCCCCTCACACTCCCTCTGCCCATGCAGGTGCTGTGCTGGGGAGGTGCTGAGGGTGGCCGGCTTCCACAAGCAGTGTCCCGTGGTAGAGCCCGTGCGCAGGTGAGGACACCCCAGCCCCTCAGGGGGCTGCATGGGGGGCCCTGTGCCAGGCAGGATCTGGATGGGACAGTGCCAGCGGCACCCTTGGCACGGGGCACCCACTCTGGCCTCCCACACTGCAGGGAGAGCCAGGTGCTGAGCGTGCGGGGCGAGAGCATCCCCGAGGAGCGGTTCTGCCGGAGTCTGTGCCGAGCTGTAAGCATGTGGCCGGGCGCGCGCCTGGTTGACTACGTCTGCGTGGAGAGTGCCCTGCTGGGTGAGTCCCCTGCGAGCTGTCCAAGTCCCCCTGAACGTGTGGCCCGTGCTATCCAGGGCTCTGCCAGCCCCCTTGTTCCTGGCAGGGCTGTGGGTGGCTTTAATGTGCTTGCTGTGCTGCTGCAGGTGCTTCTTCGGGGGCCTCTGCCCCCCACTACGAAGTGTTCGTGGAGCTGCGGGGCCTGCGGGACCTGTCGGAGGGGCAGCGCTACAAGGTGAGGGGGACAAGGGCTCTGCTCCAGGGCAGGTCCCTGCGGGCTGGCAGGCACGCAGGCAGGCAGCTGGGCAGACAGCTAGGTAGGCAGGCGGGCAGGCAGGCAGATGGGCAGGCA